CTGGTGGCACTGACTTCGCAAAGTTTGGGATCGATGACGTGCTTGGACGATTGTCCTGTCCTCTCGAGCCGCGGTTGTTGTATGCAAAAGCCCAATTCCATGCATATACATCGTTTGTCATACCAGATCCGTTGACTGGCCGTACTGGCACCGAGGAAGCATTGCACATGCTCCGGTCGGGCCGATGCCAACCATGGGAACCGTTGGGAGGTGCTGCGGTCGCGATTCTCCAAACAATCGCAGACCTAAGCCCAAAGCGAGAATACTATCCGCAGCACAAGCAAGCACTGCAAGCGGTTTCCTGGAACACGAGGCTGACCATGACCATTCAAGATGATGCATACGAAGGACTTGTGCAGAATATACTCGATAAATCGGACCGTCTGCGGCTCTTTGTTCAGAATGCAGCGGAGAATAGGATCAGCGCATATATGCCGTCTCACCTTCGGGAACGAGGTCTTGCGCGGCGCCGCCTCTTTGAGCGCGATTTCGACGGTACGAATCGAACAGCAGCTAGTGATCGGATGTACAGATCGCGTGGCCAGGAAGCTGATTCGGAGCAAGCACGTAATGTTTACCATATTGCGAGCCTCTTTCGGAAGGGACCCTTCCACATTCGCACACGTAGAGAGCTTTCTGCGATACTACAGGATTGGCAGCTTATCGGCGGCTTCCATGAGGGACGTCAAGCCGACGCTGCAAGTCTGAGCGACCTGGTCGAGATGAGTGTCGACGAGCAATGGGGCGGACTTGTGAACCTCTGTCGCCACTCCAACCTTGACGAGCTCTACAGTCTGATGTTCCGCCTCAGTGTCATGTCGCTCAATCCCAGAACTGATCCGGACGCCATCAAGATTCTGGCAGCGTTCGCGTCTCTGCCGAGATTGAAAAACTTAATTCCCCCGTCCCGTCTCTCATTTAGCCAGTTCAAACTCAACGAATTGCCTGACATACGGTCCATCTTTCGTGTGATCTCTGTTGACCTTCCAGAGAAGCATCAGAAAATGCAGACAAAGGCCGAAGCAAAGCATCACAAGGCGTGTGAAGCTGAGGGGAAACGATTGGCGCAACACCTTCTTGACCAGTGGCCACATAGGAAGGTTGCCCTGAACGGATTCGATTCGGACCTTCTCGACGTAGGGCTCGCAATGGAACGTGTCGTGCCTGAGTGGGAGCGGCTGCATTCGAACCTACTTCTCTCAGAGTATGTCATTCATGTGCAGCATGTTTTGAAGGATCATGAGGGAGAGAGTGGGACGTCACATCCTAAGGCTTGGATATGGGACCAAGAGCCATTTTCCGGGACCTCATACGATTCTGTTGTGCCGTCGATCTCAAAAGATCTTCTTAGCAGACCGCTGGCAGTATCTTTCGGACCCCGGGCGTGCGAGCTGCTACTGCCCAGAGACAGCAAACTTGCTTCTCGTATGGAAGGGAGCTCAAAACACAGAATGCCAGCCAAGGAGGCTGTCGAGCTACGGCAGATCCTTTCCGATTTTGCACAAGCATCCAACCCTCTCCGCCAACAGTACGGACTTGATCTGAAGATGAGTCTTGACGCCCTCGAAAGAACGAGTACTCAGACTCAAGCTTCCCATACTACCCCAAATATTCCAGATAACGCGAGACGCACTCAAGAACTGCATGCGATAGTAGCCGCTCACTTGTCCAGGATTCGGGAGGCTCTTGCTAGAGATGACAACCGCTCCTCGTGGCTACGGCTTGGAAACCTCTGGCCCTGCACGACGTCCATCGCACTTTTGGAGCAGCTGCGCTCAAGCTCGTGTTGCAAATTTGGGAACTTCGTACAAGAGGCGATTGTGGCACACGGTCTCCTCATCACGAAGCTACAGCGGCTGACACGAATCCACAACGCGCTGTGTCACGATAAAGGCAAGGATCTCCAAGCAGAACTCGGAAACTTTGGCCATGAGAACTGGACCCCCCTGGAGTGGCCGGACTGGCTTCTCCTAGAGATTGACAGCGACATTCTGATCCGACGGGAGCAGGTTGACGTTGCACATGCGATCATTGCACCTGAATCAAGGGACAACACGGTGCTGCAACTGAACATGGGTAAAGGTAAGTCGAGCATATCGTAGACACAAAGTGCTCTTTGACAGTCATCGTTAGGCAAGACGTCATGTATCGTTCCTATGGCTCTAGCGGCAATAGGAAACGGCAAGCAGCTTTCGCGTCTCATTGTACCCGAGCCATTGCTTTTGCCGACTGCACAGATGATCCAGTCGCGACTGGGCGGCTTAGTTGGTCGCGAGATACGACATATTCCCTTCTCTCGCAAAACCAGCATCGATTCGCAGACGCTTCGGTTCTACAGGAACCTCATCAGGAGATGTTGGACAGCCGGGGCGTTGTGTTGATTGCGCCCGAACACCTTCTCTCGTACAGTCGTTAGCGATTGCGGCTTCACCCCTACAAGCAGCTGCGTAATGGTTTTCAGTGCCCCACTTTCTATATAAAGAGCTACTATCTCTAGAATTAAACTATATAATAATAAAATAATATTTTAGACTTATAGAGCTAGCTTTCTAGATTATAAATATTAGAATATCTTTTAAAAGTATTAAGTATTGAAGAAGTTATAGCCTACTAAAGTTTCTAATTTTGTATGTAAAAGGTGCTCAATGTAAGGGGCTGCGCTCCGTAGAGCAATCGCGAGGTACACTCCCATGCACTTGCAGCTTCCGCTTTGCACACACGTTTGTTTTGTCATCCCGCACGGGGCATCGATTTTTCTAGAAGACACATGTTCTAAAAAGGCTTAGACTCTGTGAATATCTCGATTTTATTGGTCCGAGTGTCGAGCGGCGGGTTGACTCATAGCGATGCTAGTAAGAGCTAGCACTATCTGGGTAAGGTCACCACTAAACGAGAAGGGCTGGGCATGGGACCAAGAGTCGCCTGCTTACAGAAGCCGGAAGCTGCAAGTGCATGGGAGTGTATACAAGAGGTTGTATTCGATAGGGAGCTAAGCTCCTAGCTACGTGGTTATCTATATACAAGCTAGTTGCCTGAGTAACAATCGGGCCGGTATGGTCTAGGTGCACGAGGCAGCTTCTGGGTCCT